TCGATAGAAATAGCTGAGAGACAGGCGAAACAAAGGACCCGCATGGTGTGGTGGTGAACACGTTACTCCCCGGAAAGGACAATAGCGCGTTCGTTCCCCACCATAGACACCTGCGGTCCAGAGTTTTGGAAATATCTCAGCAACGTTGTGGTTGTATTTCGCTTAGTACCCTGCCGCGAAATTACAGTAGGCAGAAAATAAAAAGGCATAGTATTCTGTGTTCAATTTGACTGAAAACTTGGTTTAGCACTTTCTCTGCTTGGTTATGGAGGTGTTTGGCCGCGTAGATTTCAGTCAACTTGACCTTTTCAGGCTCTGAGGACGGCGAAATCCGCCGAAACGTCAGCTTGTACGTAAATAAAGACTCACGCTTGCTAAACAGAAATATAAAGAATTGGTCAATAAAAGTGTTGATAAGCGAAGTCAATCGGCTTTGATTCCATTTGGAACGATTTTTAACGAATTATAAAACGGCAATTGGTCTTGCATACATCGCGATCTTCGAAGCAAACCACCGTCATGGACGATGACTGCAACTGACGAAACAAATGGAAATTGTGCTGGGATGTGTACAACTCGTTAATAGAGCGATCCACGCATCTAAACGTCCTGGACTAATTCTCTCACCTGCTTGCTGAAAACATGGTGCTGTTGAGGGATCCAATCAGCAGGGCGGCAACGAAAATAGGCATGACGAAATCTCCCTTTCCGAGAGTCGCTTCAGCAAATGTCTGTAAGGTGGTAAACCGTTTCACACTTGTTCAACTCTTGAAAGAACTTTAAAAACCACAAGAAGTGAAATTAGGAAATTCTTAAGGAACTTAAACACATTGTGTCTCTAACAGAGGTTCAAACCCATTAGTAGAACGATTATTGAAGAAAAGAAATGAAATTTGTGGTGAAATTTTGCGGACAAAAGGTTGAGGATGCTCCCAAACTTCTCAAAAATTTCAATAATTTTCACAGTATTTTCAACTACAACCTCAGTTTAACAAGGTTCAATGCCGATGTGGTTTCTCAGATCAATCCCGCTGACGGGTAATTGACGATGGCACTGATCGGTAGAACTAGCTGAGAGACAGGCGGGATAAAGGAACCACATGGTGTGGTGGTGAACGCGTTAGACTCTGGCAAAGGTAGTAGCGGGTTTGTTCCCCACCGCAGACACTTGCGGTTCGGAGTTTTGCAAATATCTCAGCACCATTGCGATTTTCACAGCATTTTTCTAGGGAATTTGCAACAACAATCACATGAGTTCAAATCAGAAGAAATCAATGGTACTTGTAAGAACGTGACAATGACCCACAACATTGCTCTTCTCAAGAAGAGGAAAGGTAGGTGCAATCCTTTTTGCGTTCCGTGGAAAATAATAATCCGATCATTTGGTGAGCTGAAGGTGAAGCTCTTAATGGCGGACCAAAAATTGAAAGAAACTATTAGTTATAGAGGAAAATACTTTCACAAAGTCTGCAATTTTTAACAGAGCTTCTTCTTTCAGGTGTGCACGAGTAGCTTCTACCAAAGGTTACATGATTTTTCGCTCACAGTCACCAACCATCGCCACGGCTTCGCTGCTAAGAATTTGACTTGTAGAGAGCACGACGAAGTAGGACATGTTCACAGCAATGAAGATGAGCGCCACACACAACATGCCGATTACGATCGCCATTGGCATCGTCCTGAGAACATAGTAAATATGTAGAAGAGCATGGACAATTTCAGATTTCCTCAAAAAACCGGAAAACTTGAAAGTGTTTGTAAGTTAACAGAATTATTAAGTTGATATGAAAAGGTACATTTGTAACCACATAGGATTTCGGGACGGCTATTATAAAACCTTTTTCAATCATATCCGTTTCTATCGAGACCTAGCAATGACTTTAAGCCCAACTTGTCACTAAGGCATGTCATATGGATAGTAATGAATACAGCTCATAGTTATCACGTAGCATAACAATATTTCAAAAACAGACTCTGCTTTAATCTCGGTATTACTAGTCAATATGCTAACATTCGATTGATTGAGAGATTTGTTTGGCTAACGTTTCCGCGTCGTCGACTCCCTCAGAGCCGATGATCCGAGTCGATGTCCACGGTCTTTCACACTCTCGATGTAGTGTCTTCGTCTTCGTACCAAGTCGGACCTTCCTAACTAACTTTACTTCTCTTCTCTATTTTCGAAATACCTCCCAACGGTTTAGCGCCTCATCGTGGCTGGGAGGTGATCCTGGGTGTCGGACTGTGATGTACAGCAGGTGGATTCGTCCTCCCGCCACGGCTTCCCAAGCTGAGAAGGAGTCCGGCGTTTCTATCAGGAAGCTTAGTTAAGAGTAAACCAATACCAGAATCCACCACCGTCTTGGTATCAAAGTCGCATGATGGTAAATCTCTCTCTGATCCACAAGGGCTGAGATTATCTGTCATGGTGACGACGTAGGGCAGACTTTGGCCAGGCTATCCTCGGGATTCCAGGGAACCACAGTGGCTTAACCAGAAAATTTCCAAAAAATGACGATTATGCTGGGGCTCACACATTCATGGAGGGCGGGCCGTTCAAGTAACAAGTTTTCGAAAGATCATTACTAGTACTAGTACTAGTAGGTAGCGATTTAGCTGATAATGTTCGTTAGGATGGGTTGATCGGAAAAAAGTTCTTATCAGTGAACCGTCCTGTGTAGAAGCGCATAGCAGGGTTAGGTAGCTCCATTTAGGCGATGCTCCACTGAAGAAGGTCCAACTCGGTGTGACGACAAAGACACCAAATCGAGAAGAAGAACGACTGAGGACATCGACTCGGGTCACAAAGACGTCGAAATTAACCTCACGTTAGCTTATCAGTGAACAAATACATGCTAATTGGTATTTGTCTCTATTTGGGCATGTGCTTTCCCAGCAAGTCTAAATCGCTTTCCGCATTGGTAAAATCAGATGGTGAGTTAGTCGATACGAACCGCAATTTGACGCTCAAAAACGCTTTCTCTATACCGCAAGGTAACATTGGTTTATCAAAATATATGACCTTTCATTCATTCATCCATAAAAATAAGAGAACGAAAAATCATAACGCCCGAAGCAAACGGTATAGTGCACTTATCCTGTCAAATTCCGCACGAAATACTGTAGTCCGCCTTCAGTTTCTTGGTTAACTAGATCATTAACAAGGAGCACCCGTTCACAAACGACGTCTTTCTTCGGAATTAACATGGTCGCCTTCTTTGAATAGGACGTCCTCACTTCTCAGTTGACATTTTATCTAGAATGGAATCAACAATGCCGTCGGCAAAATAAGACAACTTACCGTTTGGGCTTCTCTATTTCCTCCGCTCCAAAATTGAGAATATCCCATCCGTCGTAGGAAAACAGGCAAGTGAACAACGCCGATACAATCGCTCCAATGTTCAAGTTGGAACCGGAGAAGGGATTTTGCAAGTTATTTGTTTTACCTGAATCTGACGAAAATTAGAAAAGGGCTAAGGATTGTAAAGATGGCAAAACACTAAACCTTGAAAAATAAGCATATAGAACCCGGTGCCAATAACCAGACCGGTAGATGCGAATTTAGCAATCGATGCAGCTACTTGAAACCGAGAGACAAAAGTTTTCAACGAAAAGAAATTCATAAACAGCAGCAACCCTGGAAAGACTTATTTGGTTTGGAAACATTCGTTGTGCTGATACCTTAACTTACACATCAATGAAAATCCTAGCAATTTTTTGGACCAAAATGATGAAATCGGGTCGAGATCGATGCCGATTCCCTCAAAATGGAATCGTTAGAAGATATCATACAACTTTCTTCCATTTTTACTTTACATGTCACATTGTGGTAGAAGACCCGATATCACATCACATAGTTGGTTAGTCATAGCACTTGTCGCATTCGATTCGTTTCCTCGCATCCTTTATCCACAAAGGTTATTTAACATCTGCGTGTGTACATGGCTACTGCTTGAGGTTCCTTGCTATTCGTTATAAATCTCGTTGGATGCTAGCCAAGTCGATTCTGGGCGGCGCCCTGGTACAGCCATGCAAAAGAGTCCGCAAATCTTCCTCTTAGGAAGACGCCAGCTTTTGTGGATTGTTGCAAGCGATACAATCCCGTACACCTTGGTATTACTCTCACAAAACCGGAGTGATGCGCAACTTGGCTGACTTGGGTTTGAACCAGAGTCTTGGGCTTATTGAACGGCAATCTTTGGCATTCGCTACATCAGCAACGATACAGGTGACTAGGATATTTTTTGTTTACAATCCTGCTCATCAAGGTAAACTGTGATTTACCCGTACTCACACTGAAAGATAAGCTGAAAACGTGAGAAAGACAATGACGATTCCACGAAGCTGTGTTGATAGAACAGCGCATTTGCAATGGATGGGATTTATTTTAAAAGGATATTCAAAGAATGGAATGCAAAAAGAAAGCAGGGAGGAAAAGTTTTTTTAAACATTTCTCAACACTTTAGAGTGGTAGTTTAACTAATAAACCAGGCGTTTTTCCCATGATGGTATTTTAGTGAGGTAGGAATAGTTTACGAGAACGAGGACAAAACATGAAAATTAAAAGAAGTCGTCGAAGATGTAATCGACTCAAAAATTCGATTCAAATAAAACAGTTTGAACATATTTCATGGTCCTCTCATTTTTAGTCTATTTGAAAGTCAACTTTTAGTAAATACGGTTTAAAGAATCAGAGATGCAAAGTCGTACCTCGATCAAACTTGCCGTGTGACGGCTAGGCAGTCCCTACCTCTCATCAATGGCTATGATAAATATAGCTTTACAATACCGCATATACAGGTATTTTTTGAATGTTAAGTTCCTCTTCCGCCGTTAATTTGATAAGCCCCGTAACGAAGGTTGCATGAACTGTTATCGGGAGTGGGGAAAACTGTTCTGTATCCAAACTATGATGCTAGAGAGGAAGTGATTCACTTGATTGTGACGCTCGCTGAAAATCTTGTCGAAGATGAAATCTGAGGTCTGTTAAACAATATCACCATGATTAATAAGCAATAGAAAGATGTGAATTTAAGAAAGAGAAGGGCATTAAAAACACCAAGGTGAGCTTGGAGATAGGAAGAGAAAGGAAGGGAGAAAACGGGAGAGAAACGCAGAAAAAGAAAAACAGAAAGCGGTGGATGCTGAGAAAAATGTTAAAGTGAGGAGCACAAAAGCAAAATAAAAACGCTTTGAAAAAAAAGCAAGGATGAAGATAACAGTATGACAGGAACAAGAACACAGTAAACTAACTTGGATGAAAAACACGTATGTAGAAGAAAATAAGGAGAGGAAAGCACTTTTCCGTTGATAAGAATAGCCAGATGAAAGCTTTATTTCGTTAGCGTGCCTTTTATCAATCTCACGTTACCATTGTCAATGGAAGATCACATGTTTGTCAGTCCGGTCAAGGTTAGAGGAAGGTCGGCTTGTGACAAACGAGGAATTTTATATGGAGCTGAGCTGTGACCGCTCTTTTTGAAAGGGATTCTGTTAATCGGACAGGCTGCTCAAGATTTGGCAAGAATTCTTGGTTTCCTCATCTTCCAGTTCCGTAAGCAAAAGGCGACAATTTCTAGTGATGGTTAAATTAATAATAAGTGCCAAATATCTGAAGGTAATCTGGAACAGTTGTATGAAGCGGAAGAGTTTTCATTTCGGCTTGGATAAAAGCGGAAAGACTGTGAAGATAATTGTGCCATATCATCAAGCTTGAAACGAACTGAACTGAACTTTCACTACAGTTTAACTTTCCAGCCACAAATTGCACGTCACAGAAATGTCTGAAGAAATACCTACCTGGAACATGTACTCCGCAAAAGTTTGAGCTTGAACGGCAAGAGTAGCTGGGTAGTTAATGGAGCAACCGATACACATGAAGGCAAACGCTATCGGGTACCTGTAGATCTCAAATATAATAAGACTAGTGACTAAAACAATAACAAAAATAATAACAATAACAATAATAGTAATAATAATAATAATAATAATAACAATAGAGGTGCCATGGGCAGGACAGTAGTTGGTGTTTCTGTCGACCAGGAAGCAACGGCGCTCGTTCAATCCCTCCGCAGCGCCCTCCTCCAATCCACGTGGGGAACGCCTTAGTCTGGCTATCTCCAAGATTGCAAAAATATTCAACTCGGCCAGTATTCTACGGCATTCATTAAAGAAACAAGACAAAATCCCCAAGCAGCAGCCAAGACAGCACGCGAAATATTCGAAGACCGTTGGAGTCGACTTTAGTTTTTTAAATTGTTATCTGTTATCAATCACCCGTCAACTGCTATGACTTAGAAGAGTGGAGCCTATAATTATATAGAAGGATTGGCGTAGGGATGGAGAACCCATCTTCGGAATCCGTTTGCGTCTAAGGTCAACTACGATGTTTTTCAGAAACCAATATCGGATTTGTAACCATATTTTCCTTGTATTTGTTTTAACAGTATTTCAACTCCTATTTCTATTCATATAAATTTATATGTGTTTATTTTTATATAAGGCGTATATATACATATATAATTATATACATATGTATATAAAATTCCTTGTACGCCGAGTCAATTCGGCTAAACCTCTGCAACAAGTGGTTGATAGACACATGAGTGATAGACCGGGGATTCATCGCGACAGATTACCCAGCTGGAAAAAAGAATCTGGCGAGTTAACCATGAGTGTCCGTTTTATCAGAAACCAACACGAAAATTTAGATGGCTTTTGTGTTCCCGGACTAAGCGGAGACAAGCCCACGGGTATTGCGTACAACAGTGAGTGATGCGCCACTGGCGCTCGGTTTTGAAGTTCAACGGAGTTTCTTTTACTACCGCGGTTAATTTTCATTTGTCAAAGGAGGGAGTGAATGAAATTAAATACCTCAGCACTCTAATTTTTTCTTATGCAATGAGATGTGGAACCAAACCGTAAGTAGTTTTAAAAACACAGTCGTTTCCTAGTCTTCCGACATCAGGCCATAGTTTTTCGACCATAAGTCACCTTAGCACAACTGGAGCTCACAATTATTTGAATGTGTGGCATGAATAGAATAGAGCAAACCATTTCATGAAGCACATGTAGGCAAAGTCTCCACCCGACATTCGGATGCTGGTGCCCAGTTCGACGTAGCAGAACGAGCCCAGCGTCGAGATGCAGGCTGCCGCCACCCAGATAACCAGCGACAGTCCGATCTGCAATGCCCACACTCACCATCGCTTGACACAATGAATCTTTCGACAATGTTATGTTCGTTGTAACGAATCCAGCTACTCTTAATCCACGGCCAAGTGCTTAACTATGTGTTATATTTTTTTTAATAAAAATATACGAAAATAGCATTAGAAATGCTGTCATATGCCTAGTGTTATTTTTATTATTAGCATGCCAATTAATGGCAAAAGTAGTGAATTAACACAAGACAATTAACTACTGGCCTTCAACTAAATCTTGATGTGCTCATTTTTTTAAGCTAAAGGCATAGCTATTTTAAACGGCGTGATACTGACCTTATAAAGGATAGCTCCAAAAGCTCTCGGAGTTGATCAATCCCTCAGGGATGTGCCATGCATTCGACTTCATTAAGCAACGTTTGGAGGTGATTGAATGCATATTTGGCCTTTATAATCACTAGCGGTGGCCTACCGGTGTATCCAGCCTTTCCTACCTTCCCAGACAAGTCTGGTACCGATTTGCCGACTCCGGAGGGAAGGAAGGCTTGGTGGGCCATGGGAGCCTCCGACGACTTCGCCACAAGTGCCCTTATGTGTACCGTTTAATGACATAAAAACGCTGGCAAAGGAAATGGCTGAAGAAATAGTGCTTTCACGTGCGCTCGGTAGTGAATAAGCTGTATGATTCTGTCGGAGGGGAGGCTAACAATAACGAATTTATTTGCCAACAAAAATACATTCAGCCTGAAACCACTGACTCTTAGGGTTCAAACAACCCATGTGAAAGTTCGGTCATCAGGTCAAGCATGGTCTCAAATTCCAACACGATGCTTTTCACTCTTTGTATGAAATCACGTTGAAGGAAGTTTCTACTAAACTCACTGAACCAGTGGTTTGAAGAATAGCGGTTGGTGTAATGAAGATACCCGAACCGACGATGTTTCCGATAATGTAAGAGGTGGCTCCAAGTACACCCATCTTCTGAGTGCGTGACGAATGCTCTTCGTCCATGGCTGTTGTAAACGAGTATTTCATATTCATTTATGCATACAGATTTTAATCCCCGCTTTTCTCGATGAGCAAATGATTTTGAGCAATTCTTTAGTGTTATCAGTGAACATTTAACATATCAGATAGGAAAACAACAGTTATTTACCTAACGAAGTACTAGAAACAGCTATGAAAACTGTGAAAGTCTAAGAAGAAACTACAGAAACATAGTACTAATCTTATCAGTAGTCCCTGAGAATGTCATCAGTTTGCGATAACATTGCACAAATTATCTTTGTGGCACCATAAGCCAGCGAATAAATTATAAATAACAAAAAATCTACGAAAACAAAGGGTTTTAGTGCTCATAATTTCTACCGATTACTATTCCGAGCAGAGTGGCAACGGTAAGAGAAAATTAAGAATGGAAAAATGAATGAATACAAAGTGAGAACAACGCTGGAGTTTCGAGTTTAACAGAGAAATAGTAAGAGGAAATTCAGTGATGAGGAGAAAAGAAATAAAAAATATCTGTGGCTGTAAAAAATCCGAATGACGAGAATGCAATCGGAAAGAGGTAGTGGTCTCTCCAAGGGTCGATCGGTAGCCGTTATCAGCTGGCGGTGACACTGACACTCAACAAATTGTTCGCTCCAGTCATTGATGATAACGCCTGAGTCATTGTGCAATTTCTTTTTGTCCGATTAATATAAGAGATCTCAGTATAATTACGAAGTTTCCATATTTAGCAGATGCTGAACATTACGGTAAATGGGACCAACACTGGGTACCTAAGCACCTCTAGAGTAAAGCAATAGAGTCACTAAACTCAACTACGTTTTCTTCGTATTTTTGTTGAGCAAACGCGAGGTGTTACTATTCTTTGTTCACGATTAAGCTGACGTTTCGGCGGATTTCGCCTTACTCAGAGCTTGGAAAGGTCAAGTTAACAGCAGTCTATTCGGCCAGACGCCTTCATAACCAAACAAAGAAACTCCAAACCAAGATTTCAATCACTTTGAACACAGCTTTGCACACTCA